TCCATCGTGTTGTAGACAGTTTTTGTGATCATTTCTCGAAATGCACTGAATCCATTGTCAGGGAAAACTATGTCTTGGTGTATGAAGTAAGTAATTTGATGACTAAATACACTTTGAGAGTACACAGTGAGAAATGTATAAAATGCTGTTGTTGAGTCACTTCAAAAAAAGGAAAGGACGGAAAGAGCCAACTCTGAAACAACCTGGTCTCATTAATCAGTATTAATGGGAGATCCCCTCATAATATTCAAGATTGGATTGAGGTCCTAAAGTAATTTATTTTTCGGGGTCAGATTTTGAATGGGACTCTTTTTTAAACTTGAGAAGAATTTGAATTTATTAACAGGACTTGACAATTTTTGAAACACCTCACTGTGGCCCCATTCAAGCATATGCCTGAGATGAGCGCTCCTCCCACCATGTTCTGCTTTAAAATGTGTGAGAAATTCTAATTTTATCCTGTCTCTAATCCATATTCTTTATCCTTTGTTACAGGTAGTTCCACCATTTTTTTCGTTAAATCTCTCCATTGTGTTGTAGACAGTTTTTGTGATTATTTCTCTAAATGCACTGAATCCATTGTCAGAGAAAATTATGTTCTGGTGTATGAAGTAAGTAATTTGATGACTAAATACACTCTGAGAGTACACAGTGAGAAATGTATGAAATGCTGTTGTTGACTCACTTCAAAAAAAGGAAAGGACGCCAAGGACGGAAAGAGCCCTCTCTCGAACAACCCTTGTCTCATCAATCAGTATCAATGAGAGATCCCCTCATAATATTCAAGATTGGATTGAGGCCCTAAAATAATTTAGTTAGGGGTCAGATTTTGAATGAGACTCTTTTTTGAACTTAAGAAGATTTTGAATTTATTACCAGGACTCGACAATTTTTGAAACATCTCGCTGTGGCCCCATTCAAGCATATGTCTGAGATGAGAGCTCCTCCCACCATGTTCTGCTTTAAAATGTGTGAGAAATTCTAATTTTATCCTGTCTCTAATTCATGTTCTTTATCCTTTGTTGTAGGTAGTTCCACAATTTTTGTCAATGAATTTTAATTTCTCCACCGTGTTGTAGACAGTTTTTGTGATCATTTCTCGAAATGCACTGAATCCATTGTTAAAG